GGATGATGGATGGATAGATAGATAGATAGATAGATAGATAGATAGATAGATAGATAGATAGATAGATATACAGATAGATAGATAGATGGCTAGATAGATGGATAGATAGATGGATAGATAGATAGATGGATGGATAGATAGATAGATAGATATATTCATAGATAGATAGGTCGATGGATGGATGGATCTGTAAACATAATTGCCTCAGTTTCCAGCATTTGTCTGGGGTTAGAAGGATTGAGATTGCAATTCAATGTGGTGTCCTCACAGTGATGCATTGGATTGAATCTGATTTCCCAAATGCCAATGATATCCAATATTCTCTAGATGCAAAACATGCAAGACTCTTGTTCCATAACAATTGAGATACCTCTCTTAAAATGTTCTCTGGCATAGTGTCAACTCTCAGTGTGACACAGATTTCATTTTATTGTGCTGTTTGCAAGAGTGAAAATGAGGGAAACAATGCCTCAACTGCCTGGCAGAACAATTTGTAAGACTCTGGGCCTCCGCCCGGTGAAAGCCGGGTCCACATGCTCAGCGCTCTGAGACGTGCCTCGTGTGGGTTTTTTGTCCTGTCTTGTGCTGTGGAGCAGAAGTAGTCCCTTCCTGTCCTGACATCACACGACACTGTCCTATCTGGGGTGAGAGATGAGCATCTGTGAGAGGAAAAATGAGAGCCAGCGAAAAGAAGAGCAAGCGTGACAACAAAGAGATGGGAGCGTGTTGTATAATGAATTGTGTAAAATAAATCACAAAATGAACCAAAAAAAACATCTAAAAGGGAGAAGACGGGGAGAAGACGGGGAGAAGACGGGGAGAAGGCGAGAGCAGCGATTGTTTGTCTGAGATATGTACAGAAGAAAAGTGCAGCCACAGAACAAGAGGCTGACTCAAGTGACTGTGACTCACAGTGTTTTCACAGAGATCCCTTTATTCCAAACTCAACTAATTGGATCAAGTTCTGTAAATCTGACGCACCGGCCAAACCTTTCACGAAATCTCTGATAATCTGAGGTGCTGTTGTAAATGTCTTGAATATTTTCAAGGCACTGGGATTCCTGATGCTCAGAGCCTGTAGCATGTACTCCTCCTAACAGTGTTTGGTTTTGAAGCTGCCTGTAAATGTCATCGATGATAGAAAGCAAAAAGGAGAGAACCGCCTTGCACTGGGATCACGCCAATGACAACAGCGATTGGCGTTCCATCCCATTAGTCATAACTACATTATTACATGAGTGCTCAGTCATAATTACATTATTACATGGGTTCCCAGCACTCGTGGGTTGGCCCTTAGCTATTTTTGGACCTCATTCTGATCTCAGCTTCAATCCTGTAAAAATTCACGATGTTGCACAGATGTGACGTTATTGCGGTGACAAAATCCATCCACGGACGGACAAACACGTAAACACCTGCTACAGTACTGAGCAGGTGGAGGGAAATGACTCTGACTCATTTCTTTCCATTTTAACGAGTGTTGGAAAAGAGCTCATATTTATATTTTTGAAAAGTGGTGCTGCGTAACTGACACTGAAGCCGTTTGCAGACATAAACTTCAGAAAATTGGGTTTGGAGATTTGAAAACTGTCAGGTGAGGTCTGGTGCAGGAGGCCGGCCATGATGTTAAAATCCACTCTGGAAATCAGTATTTTGTTTATAGCACATCGACACACTGCGTCAGCCCTTATCACCAAAAAGCTCTCAAATCTCGTTGTCTTCTTAAGTTGACATCTTCATCTATGCATCTATGTCCTCTACAGCTGAACGGCTCCTCTTTTTCATCAATTTTCTCAGTTTTGTGTCTGTAGCATGTTACAAACATCAACATTTTCCTGCTTTATTCTAATATGGGCTGACTTGGACATTTTCCTAAGGGCCTGGCAGAAGTAACTAATTCAGACGTCTGCGTTCTCACACACAAACCCTTTGGAAAATGTCCAGAGTGTGTCAGAAAGCAGCTACACATCGAATTCTCTCTGTTTGGTTTGGACCTCAGCGTTGATTTAGACTTGATCTCCACCTACTGGCCCTTGTTTAAGCAACAGATATTGTATTTTT